TAAATAAATCCTTTAAAAAAATAAAAATCTAAAGAAAAAAACTAAAACTAAAAATAAATTATGCAAAAAATGTAATCTGCCTTAAAAAAAAAGAGAGAGAGAGAAATTACAGATACCCTGTCACTGAACATGGGAATCCATAAGAGAATTAAACCCTATCAGCTTATTTTCCAAAATGACGGTGGAGATTTATGTCTGTGCCAGAGAATGAGACTATCAAATCCCCACAACCTGCCAGCACTCCTGTTAGTTCTTTTGACAGTCCTACGGACTTTAATTTTCTGATTAGAATGAACCTGAACATTTCTCAGACCATTCCTATTTTCAAAAATGTATTGTCTTAGTGGGCTTCCTTTTCCGTGAATTGCATATTCATATCCTTTGTTTATATCTCTACTGGGTTTCTTGCCCTTAGGACTCACACTCATTAATAAAACTTCCATATTGTCAGAAGAAACATCTCTCAATGCCCACCACGAGCAAATGAGTGAGTTGGCAGAGACCAGAATTACCTGCCGGCTGTATCCTCAGGGTTACTTGCTTTGTGTGCTTTCTCGTGATGGGAGTCCAGTTCTTATCCGGGTCCTGAATCCATTCAGTTGCTTCACAGAACAGCTGGCCCTGATCTGAGGGCTGCAGTCTCTCTATGGACAGCCTGAAGGTGTCTACCCCAAGTTTGTCAAGCCCCATTTTACCAGCCGCAAACCTTTTTGCATACAAAGGCCCAGGCTCCAATGTGAAATCTCTGGAGAGAGAAATAATCTTGGTGGCTTGGTTTTGTTCTCCATCTCGCTTTAGGGACCAGGTGAGAGAGAGGTGAGTATGCTGAGCGGTGGCTTTGGATGCCTCACAGGTGAGTTCTAATGCTTCATCTTCCTCTTTGCTGAGTGTCTGTGCTCTCATGGTAGCAGAGAGGGTATCTGGAATCACTGGAAGCAAAGGAAAGATGCTATTTACCGGTCCTGGACCTGTCAGGCCATTCTCCGACGGGCAGATGACACCCTGACCTTCCATCTGTAAAGTGTGCACCTGCTCTCTCTGTTGCCAAGGGATCATCAGCATATGCAGACTTGTACATACAGCCTGTGGAGCTTGGAAAGCTCATGGATATATCAGCCCGGATGCCGCTTTTTGTAGGGTAGGCTGGAACCATTTTAGCTACTCAGCTACAGAGTACTTAAAGGGGAAAAATCCCTGGGGGCTATGGGACCTAGATTCTGATACTAAATCTGTCCCTTGTTGAGCCAATGACCTGGAACATCTCACTTCATTTCCTTGGAATTTCACATGTTCCTTTATAAAATAAGGTTCTATATAATCTGCTAGAATCCATCCTTCAGAGCCAAAACTCTTCCCAAGGTTCTATTACCCATTGTCCTCCACTGCACTTAGATCCCCACTCTCCGACACTTACAGTCAATCAATGTCTATCTATTGAGCATCTGCTTAGTGCTGGCCGTTGTGTTAGAGGCTGAGATAACTGTTCCATTCTCGTGAAGTGTCAGGTGAGGAAGGAGAAAGCCATCTACGTAGCCAATTGTCACATATACTGGGTCTGTGCTAATAATAGATGTGTGAGTGAAGCCTCGAGAGGGGACCACCTCTCTTCGGGGAGAGGTGCTACCTAGGCTGGACCTTGATGTATGTGTAGGAGCTTGCTAGGCCGAAGAAAGGGGGGCAGATAGCCTCAGAAATGGGACAGTTAGGGTTGTTCTGACCTTAGCCCTCTAAACAGGCCAAAGAATCTTAGTTTGAGAATCACCGTTTCCAAGCTGTATGATTACCACCTAGTGTATATACCGCACCAGCTCACTCATTAAGTTGATGTTCTGCCTCCCAGGAGGGACATCGCATGGGGAGAGGCCTCGAAGCTTTGCCTAATGCTGCTGTGATAATCAGCTGATGGTCAGCAGTGGGCACGGCCTGGGAAGACCACACAGTATCTAAATCTTCATGGCAAAGTTGTTTGGAAACTTGAATTGAGAGCTTTAGAGACTATGAGCTACTGTGTTTGTTTGTGACAAATCTCCAGAAGCCCCAGCAGTGTATTGGGTTGCTTTTGCCAAAGCTACCAGAGCAGTACAAAGCCACGAGGCGTGGCCAGGCACCCTGGTGGGGGGGCGCCGGACCTCAGCGGTTGGCTGGCAGTGGGGGACAGGCCACTTACCGATGAGATTGGTCTTCGCACTATAATTCCCGTAGTATTGCTCGTCGGTGTTGGGTGTGTGACACTCATACTCGCCAGAGTCCTTTGCCAGCAGCTTTGAGATGTGCAACAAGACAGAGCTGTCCCCGAGCCTCTCCACGTAGATTTCCCCATTGCGAACCCTCTGCCCATACTTCGCATAAGTGAAGGAAGCATCGAAGGTGCTGATGATCTGGATTTCCTGAGTGGGGGCGTTGGGCAGATAAATAGACCACTGGAACTGCTGCTCTGACGGCCCCCTGTAGCCTGCTACCTGGCAGCCAATGCTGGCGGGGTAACCTTCAGCTCGATACAGCGGTCCTTTCTGGATTGTTACTTGTCTCTGGCCAATGCTGAGCTTAGCTGGCAAGGTGGAGAAAGAGAGGAGAATAAAAATAGATGATTGCCCCAGTGGCCCATGGACAGCAGTAGGTGGCTCCCAGCGTCCCAATTTTGGAAAATGAGATCGTAGGTTATTAGCTAGAATCAACTCCAATGGTCAACACCTTCTTCAGGCTGAGTAGTGAAATGACTTGATGCGTTCATTGTTCTTTTCTACCTTGAACTTCCCCTCTAATCTCTAGACTCTTAAAAACAGTGTTGCTTCCTCAACACAACACAGCACTTCCATGAGACATTTCTGCGTCCTCACAATGAATTTATTGTAACCTACATCCGATGTAGGGTCATTTACCTTTTGCATTACTTTCCAGGAAGGTACAGAATCTATACCCTCAGGCCTCAAATGCAACCCTGAGTCTAAGCTACCACCGGCTGCCTCCCACCACCCCCAGCCCTACCTCCTGGCACTCATTCTTGCTGGTGGGTGGCAACTATTTGTGGCGCTGTCAGGTGTCCAGCAAGACCAGCTAAAATTAACATCCGAAGAGGCTGCAGCATTTCCTTTCTTTACCATGGAGGGATTTTTGGTTTGTGATTTTTTTTTTAAAGAGCCCCCCAGCTTTACAGAACGCTTCATAAGAGGACCTTCAAATCCAGCAGCATCTGGGATGAGAATTCATTTAGGTCTTCACTGACCAAGTTTTCAGTGGGGAGCATCAGGACATGTTTCCTGTGGAGCAGATCTCAAGTATGGGGTCTAAAGGAGAAGACATCCTTCAATGATGCCTCTGACTTACACATTTCAACACGGAGCATTTTCAGAGGCAAAAAGTAGGTGGCCAGCTTTGCCGCCCACCTGTGAGATGCAGGTGCCTCACTCTGTCTCTTTTTCTAATGAACCTTTTAAAATGTAAAAAGAAAAAAAGAGGATATGTTTACATATCACTTTAATAAAGGGGAGTTTATTTTGTCACAGAAAGAGCAAAGGACCAACACGCCCCGCAAAGGTGGGCTAGGTCACTCAGTGGGGTCTGGGGTCGGCGAGGGGCAGAGGATGGAAAGGCTTCCCGCTGCAGAGAGAGGGCTGGGGCCACGGAACCGACATAATGGGGTTCACAGGGGATGCCAGAGGAGCAGGGCAACTGCTAAAGTGTATGAATCTGTTCCAGGGCAGGGAGAGCACCCCTGAACCCCCAAACCTGCCTGCTCTAAATAGGTTCTGCCATCTGCCACATCAAGACAAGACATATAAGACCCTTCATGGACAAGACAAAGAATATAATTTCTACAGCAAACACCTGAAGTGACCCAGACCCTCGTGGGCATAAGTCCACCCGAAGGGACTGGCCCAGAGCAAGGCCTGAAAGCTGCCACAAGCCTAAAGCACCTTCTGGCCGGGACCATAGAAAAGGGTCAGACATGGCCAGACCAGTCTGGGAGGAAAAGAGCAAAATCTAAATCAAAATGAACACTGCCATAGTCACCTCCCACCCCGGGCCTCTCACCCACACCTGTTTCAGCCAGCGCAGGACCAAGAAGCAAGTGCAGCATCTCCACAGGTCTCTGCTCCCTGTGTCTCCCTCAGGTCTCCTTCTGGCTTCCATCCTGCTTCCTTTTTCTTCAGTCTCCTCTCCAGAGTCCTCTCTTTTCTGCTCAGCTCCACCTTCCTTCTGGGTGGGGCAGGGAACCCGGAACCTCCCCTTTTCCTGGGGACCCCCCTGTTACAAATCCACAGAACAAAGGGTAAAGGAGACTGGAGCGAGGAAGAGTGCGAGAAAGGAGGAAGACTGCAGACACCACAGTCAGACTGTATGCGAATTCCAGGACAAAAACAATGCTGGTGGAAACGTCCTGCAGAACATGAGCAGGCAAGATAAGTGGTAACCGAAAAATACGAATAAAGTAAAAATATGAGTATCTGTGAATGCTCGATGCAAAGCTGGAAAATAAACTTTCAACCAGTCTACCAAACACACACACTCTCCGTGCTGATTTAAAATGCACTAATTTATTCATAAATTCCAGTTTATGCGACATATTTATATTATGTTCTCTTTGTAATAGGTACCTAGAGGGTAGAACAATTGAGAAAACTTTAAATTATGACTCAAAAAACTATCCTCCAGAGACAATTTAAAACATTTTCAGTAATGCCAGCCAGTCTTAGACACACCTCTCAGAGAAGCCTGTTTCCTTCAGGTTAGAGATAGAGCACCCAAGAGTCACTGTTCATCCATACAGCCCCATGCGCCCTTCCACAGTAGAAAAGAGAAACTGAAGTTCATTCATAAAATGGAAGATTCTACAGAAATGAAAGTGGACAGCTTGCAACTGGTCACAACAATGCAGATGACTGTGTTTAATGAAAGATGCTGAGCCACTTTTGAATCTCTTTGATCAGCTACAGAATGATTCCATTCAGAGGTGAAAACATTGAAATCACACTGCATTGTTTAGTGGGAAAGCCTTTCAGGAAAGAAAAGCAGAGAAGTGGCTGTAGTGAAAGCGATTGTGTGCATAGGTTGGGACCTGGGTGAGCCCTGGGATTACCCAGAGTCAGTCTTGACTTGAGCAGTGATTCTATGGACTTTCCTTTTGACCTGTGTGCTAAGTAATTTCTGTGGGATACATTTTGCAGTAAAGTTTTCTGTTGTTGTTGTTGTTGTTGTTGTTGTTTAAATAGGGTGTCTGAGGTATAAGAAACTGCCCACAGTATTTTTGTGTGTGTGTGGTGAGATAACAGTTTTTGAACATTTTCTATGAGTTTTCAGAGACAGGCTTTATATTGGAAACATATTATTGTGAAAACTGACACTTCATTTTCTACTGCTTTATTTGCCAATTCAGTAAATATTTGACCACTTACAGTATATTTCTAGTGCTTCAGGGACATAAAGATATACTTTCAATGTAATTCTGATGCTTCAGTATACAGATGAGTTTGGAATCGTCTCTAACGTTTAGATGTTATAATTTAGTCAAGTAGGATAATAGTCATCTCTCTATGAGATAATAAAAGTGCTTTAAGGGATTCATAGGAAGGAAGATTACATTTGAAGGGAAGGAGATAGGTAAGGTTTATGGACAACATCATATTAGAAATGGACTTTGGAGAATTGGAAAGATTATGACGATTGGTGTGGGCAATAATACAATTGTGTGAGTGGGATCAAAAGGCCTGAGAAACAAGAGAAGTCAGTTGGATTGGGGGAGTGTGACATTAAGTTTAGTAGAAGGAGATAAGACTGGATAGAAATTTTAATCCAGAACACAAAGGACCTGCCTATCCTGCTTGGAAGTTGGACTTGACCAATTAGACAACGGGAATCCGCTGAAATATTTGAAAGGTCTTATGAAAATGATCTTGACAGTTGTGTGTCAGATAATAAAAATCAGAAATTGACATTTCAGTAATTATATAGTCCAGGATAAGATGATGAAGATGGTAGGGGAGAAAAAGGGGGATGATAACTTAAGAGTCACCGTAGAGATAAAATCTGTAAAGTTTTTCAGTCCTGGATTCTTACAGGGGCAGGTGGAGGGGTGGGAGGCAGGAAGATCAATGATGACGACAGGAAATTTATTGCAACTGCGTAGCAGAAATAAGGATAGTAGGAAGATGAACACTGGTGCGTTCAAGCGTGAGGGGGATGATAATGTATGTGGCTTGGGAAACCTAAACTTGAACATCAAGAAATAAATTCGAAGGATCGCTCGCAAATAATTAGAAATCATACAATATTGGCAACCTCATCTTTTTAGGACTCTAACATTCCTGCATTTAGCAATGTCAGATCTTGTATGCGTTGAGCCGGACTTGAACGTGGCATCTGGAAGTCCAACCCCCTTGTCCTCCCTGCCCCCTGTGGGTGCCTGTGAGGAGCTATGGAGCATCCTCGGTTAGGAATCCAGATCAGGCCAGTGACATACGAGCCCTGGGGAGTAATAGGGCCTCTAGGAAGAAGCTAAGTGAGATTACTAGACAATCTCTCTGTTTAGGGAACAGGGTGACAAACAAAACCCACAGAAGAGTCAGCGAGGTTTTGAGCGTAGTCGGGACACATCTGCTTAGCAACCAAAGGAGGCAGAATGTTCCTGGGGGAGAGGATTCGTCAGCGCGTCAGCACCGCCGATGCTACAGAGCGTTGGACTCCACAGGGAAGCCCTTTTGGCTCGACGAGGAGGCCAGTGGAGACCTTTGTTAAAGAGATTTCAGTGGAGCAGGAGCTGCAGATGTCACGGGCAAGAAGTGACTGCGCAAAGTATAAACTTCGAGAAGTTTCCTGAGGAGGAAAAGGAAACAAAAATGGCAGCTAGAACAAAGGCATATGTGTGGAGAAGCAGAGGCAGGGAGGCTGGGGAGGGCCGGGGGTTGGTGCCGTCTATGGGAGAAGAGCGCTGGAGGGCAGAAGTGGATGAAGCGAGAGAGGTGTCGTGTGAAGTGAGGCCCCAGCAGAGTGTGAGGGCGAGAATAGGATCAGGGTGCAGCTTTCTCAGAAAAGTGAAAGAAAGTGGCATTTGGAGCTTTAGTAGGTTCAAAGGTCCGTTCCAGGGCTTTGGGGGTCCTACGCAGCGATCCCTTTCTCCCTGTGGCCTCTGCGGGTATGCCAGAGCACCTGTCCTCTCCCATGGGAGGACCCCTCATGGGAGACATACTGTCTCTCCCTTGGAGCACACCACTAGGGACTCACACTCTTGATACATGAAGAATTCTCTGACAGTGCTGACTTTAAACAAGATCTCTGGGATTGCCACATTTCACTGTTACCCGATCATATGATACTCCAAAACAGCAATTGCAAATGATTCTACCTTGTCCAAACCCCACCTGGGGACATGAAACACAACAAAGGACCCTTTCTTTACACCTACCAGACCCCTACATGCTTGGCAGCCAAGAGAACTTCCACCCCAAATTCAGTGGAATCTTTTTTTTTTTTCCATGAACCAGTCTCAGGAAAACCACAACCCTCCCCAGGCTAATGACTTATTTGCAGGACAGCTCGTCTGGGTGAAGGTGACAGGTCAAGTTGGCAGAGCTAAGGAGAGCTCATTGATGCCTGATTCTAACCTCTCCCAGCACCACCAGCGCTTGCTTCTTGGTCCTGCGCTGGCTGAAACAGGTGTGGGTGAGAGGCCCGGGGTGGGAGGTGACTATGGCAGTGTTTGTCTTGATTTAGATTTTGCTCTTTTCCTCCCAGACTGGTCTGGCCATTTCTGACCCTTTTACATTTATATTTTAAAAAGTAATTAGGACAGGGCCCTCCCTCGTGGTACAGTGGGTTAGAGCACAGCACTAAGAAGCTAAAGCCACTTCAGCATGAGTTTGATCCCCGCCCTGGAGGTGACCCACAAGGCACGGCAGACCTCTCCTGACCCGCCCGCTGCTCCCCTCAGCAGTGTACTTCGTTGATCTGCCTGTTCTGCTCCC